GTAAGTGGTCCTTGCCAAGGCCCAACGAGCAGCATAAATCAGTGGGAGACAGTGGAGACTGGGTTCCAACCCACACCCTTCAGGCTCAAAGGACCAATGCACCTACCAACTTAACCACCGTCGCCCCTAATGTGGTCTTTAAAGAGCTTGGCCTTCCAAGACATCAGCTTCCTTTGACAAAAGAGCCTATCTTAACATAATAAACACAACTATACAATGTGGCTATGATCTCACAAGCTTTTAAAACCGCGGTAATCAAACCCCTTTCTGAAGAAAACACAATCCAGAACATCTAGAGCAAAACATGCTATGCTTCCACCGTCAGGAAAATAATATTTTTGGAAACCTTTTCAATTGGATTCAAGCCATCCATAGCACTGAAACTGCCTATCAAATGTTAAAACTGACATGACTACTAGTCTGGCTAATAGTGGACAAGTGCAGTGTTTGGTCCTACTGGACCCCAGTGAACTCATTAAGACAATAGACCACAGAATTCTACTGCGGAGGCTAGATGTGATATAGGTCTCAGAGGAACAGCCCTTGGCCTGGTTTAAATCCATCTAACGATCGGTATCACTTTGTCAATTTAATACACAAATCATCGCCTTAAATCTGAGTGGAAATCGATTGTGACACTCCTTCACGGCTTATATAAGCCAAGCAACTAAAACAGCTTTTTTCCCACATGCGGAACATCGCTAAAATCACGAATAACCTTCCTAAAATGACACGAAATACCTTCTTTTAGTATACAAAGCCATGAATTGCCTGGCTCGTTTCCTTATCTTTCAAGACACGTTAGATGCTATATCAACCAAACCGAGCACGTGCTCCACAAAACGCCAGACGTCTGTTGGTTTCCTAAGGTCTCAAAAGTCCAGTCAACAGCAGAGCATTTTCGCTACCACCCCTTTACTGTGGAATAAGGAAGCAGATACGTCGTCCACATCAAGGCCAGACTTAAAACACTCTTTTTGCCTCTTTAGCAACAATTTTGCCTATTTAGTGTTGTTTTTCTGGTTTGGTTTACACACTTGGTGTGTAATCCACAAATAATTGGTGCTGTACCTGGTAAAGCCTAGGCCGCGGCTTGCTGTCTGTTTCTCCCTTCGTTCGGACACGTCTCCACATTCAAGGTAAGGCTTAAAAACTCCCTGTCTCTATGACCCCTAGTTCAACCCCCTGCGTAGCTAGCGATGTTGTCAGCGCATTACAACAGTTTATGATGGGGCGAGCGACAAAATGTACATACAGTGTGCTTGGCAAGAGACACAACAGGCCAAACTTCATCCACTAACAGCACAATGTTGATGATGATGCTTAATTCTTCGAATAGTGGCATGCACGGAGTGATATTCTGTCTGTATGTTGTCCAGTAGTTGTTCAACGCTTAAGCTCAAAAATACCTCATGGACCAGAAAACCCTGCACAGTTTAAACATATAATTAAAAAGTAATGTTCAATCAATATTTACATAGTGAAATTGTCATTCTGCTGGTCTCATAGTCTTCTTCTTTGATACATTGCAAGTATCTTCTCCAGCCTCCATTTCAAACAATATCCTCTCTCTAAAATGGCCTTTTCCTTTGGGCTTTTCACTGATGCTTGTTTCATCAAGATAAAACGTTATAGTTGTTTGTCGGACTACATTACCAAACAGTGGCTTCCCGCGCACTAGATCTGTAAAGCATGGAGGGCCTGTTGCAGCCCCTTCCCCTCTGCATCTGGGACTCTGCTGACTTCATCGTGTGGCGCTGGTTGCTTGGTTGTCCCAGTGGTCTTTATCCTTTGCTTGATTCACGTCTTGCGCTGCCGGTTCTCCCGGTGGAGCCTCGGCATCTGGATCGCACAATGGAGACGGATGGCTTGTCTTTCGTTTTGCTAACAGCGTGTGGGAGGGACACAGATTGGCTGCTTGGTACAATTTGCTATAACAGAGACCCCCTACCCTTACGGATAAAACCAGACATGATGCCATTTATAGATAAAACATGGCTAATGTGATGACTAGCTGGAAAACAAATACTGAAACTGGTGAAAATGAAAGTATGGGTGGATGATGGTCAAATCTTGTCTTTGTTGATGTGGACCTTTTTATTTAACCAGGAAAGTCCCACTGGGATTTCAGAATCTCTCATTCTGGGGAGTCCTGGTGCCTGCTGGGATAGGAGTAGGGTCTGGGAGGGTGTCACAAGGGACTATTGTACATGTCTTTAGTGGTAGGGAAGTGAACTCTAATTTCAATCAATAATTCCATGTCAGGTTGGGACCTAGGGCGAACAACACACAGAACATTTTGATAGCATTTCAATATAAGCATTCCCTGTAATAGCTTTGTTGATTTTAATTTCAATGTAATATCACAATATAATCAATCTTACCTTCTGTTGTACAAACCAGATTAGTCCATTTTTAACTAGGAAGGTGCACCTCAGGCAAAAGTGTGGACCTTTTTGTACTCTAACTACAATCGAAAGCATTTTGAATCGGAAGTGAATTAAATCATTATCATGCTTATCTATGATTATTATTTTAGTTGTAAAGCTTATGAAAACGTTGAGTTCTCCCTATTTAAATATAGATGAATCAATATTCCTACAGAAGCAAAATATTTGGAAAAAGTAAATTAATCAAGTAATTGTGAGTTACCCCCAGCCATTCCTCCTCAAACACACTCGAGACAAAGATCTGGACCATAAAGGCACGGAATGGAGGATAATGCTGCCGTCTCATTTATAAATTGATGACTAAACCAATTATGCTCTCGTTTTCTTTTGGGCTAAACGTATTGTTAAAGCTTTGTGCCTCGAATGTTGTAACTTAGCCTTTATTCAAAGCTGGGTTTTTACGTTATCAATTTCTCTGTTGCTCCACGACTCATTAATCTCTGTCGGCTTGTTTAACAAAGTCAAGAGCCGCAGCGTACGGCGTCCTTTTGAGTGATTTTTAAAATCCGCTCAAAAGACTTGACATATTTTATTTATGACAACGATGATTTGTACTAGAATAATGAATTAGTGGCAGTCTTGTTTCACTCAGCATGGATGGTTATCACGTTATCCATCAGAAGAGGCCCAGAGGATGTATTTAACTGCGTTTTCTTTAAATATTTTTCATAAAGATTCTATATGATGGATTTCATTGTCAAATACTTTTATTGTCAGTGACTTTTGGTCTGTACTTGGACTGGACGATCTCAAATACTGGAAACTTTTTGGATTCAGGTGTTATTTTATTTGCGATATAACAAACTTGAAATTACAATCTTTAGATCTTTCGATTTTTTGTTGTGGTACCCCGTTAGTCCAATTTCAAGAAAAGATGGTTGAACAAAGTCTTATTTAACTTTTTATTTCTTACAGAGAGGTGTCATTCCCTCAACTTTTTATGGACTTTTATGGTCTTTGGTTAAATGAGTCTTGAATTCTGAAGCCTAAATTGATTGGGTTATGCAATCGTTTTGCAATTTTTGCTTTTTATAAAAGCACTTTTATCACAATCATTCTTTTTATGTTCTTGATTACGTATGGATAGGATAAAGATTCTACTTTCACTAGCATTTTGTTTCTTATTATGATTATTCTTGCGCAATCAGCCTGTGTGCAGTATTGCCGTGATCTGAAACCATAATGTTTCCCCAGGATGAACTAATGAAATGCCTCAAATGGAGAAATACAGCTTACTTTGGAGCTAAGAGATGCATGATTGGAATAGACATGGATTATCATTGAGTGAGTGAGGATTACTGGAGTTTTTATAAAGCTCTGAATTGAATAGCCTTAAGCTAATGAGATCTTTTCCTGCATATATATATATATGTCTGGGAAGAAAGTACATTATTTTTTTTATTACATTGAATTCAGTTTAAAGTTGTCTTTCATAGTTGTTGAAAATGATATTATGTCACGTATTTCTAGTGTGAACTGTTGGGAAAAATGTCACTGCAATTTTGTTTCAAAATAATAAACCTAGTTTGTTACGACTCACTAAGAGAATGTATCACAAAATCGCTCATCAGAGCTTTTGTAAAGTCCTAAGAGACGACTGCTGTTGTGAATTTTGGCTATGGATTAAAATTTGAATAGAATCTGCTCAATCAACAAGCGATTTCTACATATCTGAGGAGAGAAAAAGATGTTTGGGATAAGCTCATTCCAAATCATATTAATTTTACTTTACAATGACATGATTCCTCTTTAGATCCTGGCAGCTGCTTTTTGACTAATGAAAAAGTTACTATCTTTTGAAGTCTGCTTTAAAAACATCCTCAAAAGAAATTGACATCTTTTTCTAAAGGGCAGGAGTATTTCTCCTAAAGGTCAATAATCTCATTGAAAAGAAGCTGACACTGATTCAGCGGCACAATGCTTTCATTATGCTAAGATTAGGCAAGTTCAACCTTCAGCCCTTTTTGAATAAAGCACAAATGAAGTCATCACCTTGACTTTTGGAATGCTCTCCAGTTTTCACTACAGCGGATTCTATAATCTTATTGGGGTGTTTGACGAGCGGCTTGACATCCCTCTGTGCATTTTTAGTGTGTTGTAATGATGTTGCTCCCGTCTCGCTGGGGGGAGACCTTTGGAGGTGGGGGTCAGCTTTTATTGACAGTTCCTCTGTGTCTGTGAAAATATGAACTTGTTTTACCCATCTGGGGGCTCGACTATTATCTACAAACGAGCGAAACGGCACCGAGGGAAGCGTTTCGTTCCATGTTATTTAATGAACTGACAAGCCAATATCTCTTAGCACTGTGCACTTCTCACTTTTCCCGCGGTTTGGCTCCTTTTTCTAAGTCTGAATGTTGTCTCTGGCATTGTTGTAAATTGGAAAATTGACTCGAGAGCTTAATCTAAAATGCATTTCCTGCAGGCTTGTTTTGAGGATTGTGTTAACGTCTTCATTTCTGCTGCACTGCTCAAACGGAACAAAATAAGACCAATGCACATTCATCCAGTCAATGATGAGAATAAACTATAAAAGCTGCGGCTGTGGAGATGTCCTTCGCTGTAAGCTACATTTGATTTGTCTAATAAATACTCCTTTCAAACAAAATAATGTGACCAACCCCTGTCTCCTGTGTATATCTTTAATGTAGCCTTTTACTTCAAATCATTGGGCGTTTTCCAATATGGGTTGTGCAATTAATTTAATTTAAATAACCAATCAAATTTATAATTGTGATTTATTGCTCTGTTCAACTGCAAAATTGGTGACATTGAAAACTCATATTATGAATGCCTGCTTTTAATTATGTACTTCTACTTGCAAAACCTCGAGCGAAGGCACTTTTTCAATCCCCATCAGTCCATTTGTAATATGGTCCATATACATTCACTTTCACACTATAGAATGCGTTATTTTAATAATAAATTTCTTTTATGGAGCCAAAAAGCTGTAAGCAAGTTAAGCATTATCAGAATATGGTATTGTCTGGTCATAATGTTATGGTCGGATGCTCTGAAATTGCTTTGTTTTCCCAAAAGCATATGACAGCGTTGAGAGTCCATACCGACAGACATATTTGTTATACTGAACAGATTCTGCTGTTTCTGGCCACGTATCACTTTGCACACATGCTTCTGTAAAAAAAAAAATATGCGACAGTAGAAAATCTGTGGGTATATTTGAGTCGTTGGAGTTTGGCCGCGTTGCCAGGTTGCTGTGCAAATGTAAGCTTACCAGGCTCTGATCTGATTATGAGCCCTGTGCAGTTCACTTCAGGAGGCTGCAGATGCTGGGAGGGGGAGGGGCAGTAACAATGGAGCAGACAGCAGCTCCTGTGGCCAACAAATGAGGGTCACTGCGAGGTCTGTGCGTGATACTGTCCCATATTTTATCATTGCTTCTAGCACAACGATATGCGCCGAGATCTGTCACTTTGAAGCCCACATCAGCAGAGTCATTGTTTCAATGTTTTGCCTAAAGCAGGGGCTCAAACATGATGTCAATGATCGGAACTGCCCAATGCAGGAAACAGTCTTTATAACTTGAGTGTCTCATTATTTATGTAATTAAACTTGATAAATTAACTTACCATACATCATATTAGGGGTTCCCAAACTTCTTTATCTGATGTTACACAGTATATTGGTGTAAAAGAGTTGTGATCAACCAACATTTTTATTATTTATATTATTTATATTATTATTTTTGTGCATTTATATAAAAACTGAGGTGGCCATTAAACAGTATATGCATATTAACATATCAGAACACGGCTTCAATATAAATATGCTGGAATTGGTACCATAGCAACATTTCATCCATTCTCCTCAGGCAGGTAAAACGACATACATGAAACGTTCAATTAGACAACACATTAGTGGAAGGAAAACGCACACACACCCACACACACACACACAAAATTTCAAACATCTCAGTAAAATGTGCTGGTTACAAGTCTCTCCATGGCCTCGCACCAAAGTACATCTGCGACATGTTAGTGCCATCTGAGCCAACTCGGGCTCTGAGGAGCACAGTGATTGGCCTCCTGCTGGTGCCCAAAATTGAGACTGAACATGGAGTGTGTTTCAGATTTGTGGAGCTATAATGAGGAGCAGTCTTCCTGAATATGTGAAACAGGATTCTAGTCTGACGACGTTGAAATCCAGATTAAAAACTATTGCTGTGCATACAACTGAATCGTTTCTATTTTTAACATGCCGTGATTATTTATGATTTTAATGCTTTGAGAGTCTATGTTGTTTTCTGAAGCACTTTCAGTCTCCTTCTGTATGAGCTGTACTATACAAATACATTTGCCTTGTCTTGCCGTTGGAGTAGTTCAGACAGAGGCCAACCTAAATTAGTCTGCATCGAAATTGAACATGCTTTACATATAAATATATACTATAAACTAAACCAAAATGTTGTATAACATATTTCTTCCGTTGATGTTGCGAATAACCCTCTGGCTTTAACCGTGTGATACCTGGATCAGATCACTTCATGTGATTTGTATGTTTGCTGTATCTGTTGTATCCTTATCAAATAAACCGTAACTAAAACATAATAAGAATATCTCTCTTCCTGACTAGGGGGAGTGTATATTAACTAAGCGTTTGTGTGTGTGTGCAAAAGTGATGAGCTTCCTTTTACATTGGAGCAAAAAGATTCATCGTGCACGTGTCATACAGGAAAACAGCACATGCTATTTTACTTTGTATTCGCAGTTTAGCACCTGGATTTATACATACCTATACATCTTTTAATATTATACTGTGGTTTATTGTTTGCCATTTATATTTGCCTCTATTCAAAACATTTCACACCAATGTCCTACATATAGGTTTGATTGGATAATTATAGAAAAACTTATGAGTGTACCAGCGGTTCAGCCTGGCCTTGTGGGAGATGTTTGTTTGGCTGTGACTGATAGTTCCCGTGGCTTCCTCTTCTACAGGTGACCTTTAAAGCAGATCTGTCCACGACCGAGGTTCATGATGACAGGATCAAAGGGCCTTTAAAGGTAAGGCAGCAGCCGGCTCTACCTGGCTCAGCTAGGACTCTGTTGGCACACATATTTTATAATGTATTACCCTTAAACAACTCCCCAGACAATTGTATGGGCGCCTAACCTTTTAATTGCATCACATTATGGCAATTCAAGCATCATAAATCTTCACATATATTTGTATTTTAAGAGATGCAACCACTGGTAATGTGTACAATCAAAAAATAAGTCCTTTTAGTTGGACTTTATGTCAAGCCAATTGACCAAAGGACTAGAACTACTACATGAGCTCTTTCCCTACATTAATCTTAGCTCTTTTTTTCCTGTTTATGTCTATGATGAAACATAAAAATAACCAACTCTCTGATGCTTAAAGAATTAAGTAACTCTTATTTTTCAATTAGTGCTATTACATAACAATCTATGAATGGGGTTCTTTTTATAGTAACTATTTTGGGTTATTTTCACAATTCAAAAGATGTCTTTCCTGTCATGAAATTACTCTATCATTTATGGAACGATGTATTTTGGGCCTCAATACTCATCGTCTGCACATTTTCTTTGCAATAGTAAGAAGATATATGCAATTTTCTTTCTATAATTTGAATAATTTGAATTTGGATAACTTTGCAGTTTTTTGTGTAACAGAAAAATGAAAAAGATAAATTAAATGAATCCCTTGCTGTTTTGTAATTGACCAGTGGAACGAAGTTGTTTCAATATTATTGCACTACATCTCTGTCTCAATCTATCATCCATCAACATTTGTTATCGTGACGGGCCTAGATTGGGGCATATTACATTTCAAACGTGGGTTTCTACATGTTGTGTTCTGTTAGGTTTAGTAAAAGTGTAATGAGATTGAACAATAAAGTATAGCTATACATCATGTCTACTCGCTCTGAGATGAGGGGAGAAAATGTCTTTGGTCTGATACCTCAAGATCCAACCAGACATTTGAATTGAATGTAAACAGCACATCTTCCCAGCGTTCCCATTATGTCTCAATCCCATCCTTAAGTACCCTCAAATTGGTCCACTTACTCCAGTCCAGTGTTAACAACCTTTGTGCCGCAGGTGGGACTTGTTGTGGAGGTGAAAAATCAAGACGGAGTTTACCAGGAAGCCACGATCAATAAGCTGACCGACGCCAGTATATACACCGTGGGTAAGTCAATAACACCATTGAACCTACTCTACCTCGCAGCATGTGACTTTTTATGTTTGGTTCACGGAGTGGGTTGTGTACAAGTATGAAGACCTGGTTTGACTCAAAAATGTACTCTTCAAGCTAAAGAGGAAAAAATGTGTTATGTGGCTTTACTGCATTATGTCAAAATGAACACTATATCTTAAATATGATAAAGAGGCTTGAATGTCAAAGACCCTCTAAAAAGGCGAAACAAAAGCCAAAATCTTGTATTTTATAACAATAAAATTAACCAATTTATTTATCAATCAATCAACCTTTATGAAATACAATCTTTCAGTTGTGCAGGACTGTGTCAACCTGGAAATGAAGCATGTCTCACATTTTCAGGAAGACTCCCATATTTTAACAGCATCAATATGAAACGCTGCCTCCCCGATATTCAATATTTATTTAGCACTAGAACTATTTTATTACTGAAATGATAATGTATTTCAACCTTTATTGCAAAGAAAATTCATTCAATTTAGAAACAATATTGTGTTTGTTTTTAGTTTAAATATAATTTGTTTTAGAAAAATAGAATATTGCAATAACACATCGTATTCCCAGTCCTTGACACCACTATCTCTATCTGCACTTTATTCTAATGTTGTGCAGCTCTGTGTTAAACGATCAATAACTATTCCTCGAACATAATCTATACATATTTAGTCATTGATAACTGAAAAGGTGGCATTTCTTTCTCATTTCTGCTCCAAACCACAGCGCTGTAGACCTTTTGATTAAAAAGACCTAATCCTATCATTGACAATTGTAAATGTCTTTATCTCCATTAAAAATAGATCATCTGGCCAGCCCCTCATGGATCTTTTGATTTGAGCATAATTCATGTACACATTGGGGCTTCATATTGCTGAAAGTTATTACTATTGCCTTTCATATACTCTCCCATGTTTATTGTCTTCATTGGTTTAATATTCTTTTCACTGATTCAGAGCGTGATTTATGACTGCAAAAGAGACGGGAGGAAGGAAGAGGCCATCATATTCATTCCTTTTCTCAACTTTTTTTGTATGGATGTGTAGGCTTGTTGGCAATCTACTTAGAGGTTTTGTGGCCAAATCTCGCCCTAGTAATTTTCTTTCTCACTTGTGGTCACACTTTTATATCACATTTGTAGGTGTTTATAGGTAAAAGTGATGTTTGTACTGAATAGACTTTTAATGGAGCTGCCCACAGTGTTAATAAGAATAAGAAAAATGATACAATACCTGCAGTGAAAGAAGCTCGGATTAGATTGTAGATTGGTTTTAAAGAAGACGTGTAATGGATTCTGGAAATTATAACACTTTACTTACCGGTAGTCATTTTATGTTTTAAAATATTAAAGTAGCAATATGTAATATTTGCATGTCAAGTAATCATTAAATGGCCCCAATATTTCAAAAGGCGTTAAATCATGCTCTTTTCCAATACATCTTTAACTGATAACAGCAGTTCAGCCGAGATATTTGAATATCAAAATTAGTTTTGATAAAAGTTGTAATTGTTTTCATTACGATGTCCTACCCTCCGCCGTTTCGCCAATCAGGAAGTCTGACGTCCGGGTTGCCACAACTCCCCGCGGCTAGCTAAAATAACATGTGGCCGCAGAACTAAAAGAGGTCTTGTTATGACTCTCAAATCATTAATGACAAAACAAAGTCTAAAACGAGGATTTATATCGGGACGCCTTTGAAAACTTGAGACAATTGAAGGCGGACACAAACTTTCCGTAATGCAGAACTTACTGCGTTGAGTGCGTTCTTCGTTGTCAGTCCAAGTACCTGCCTGGATCCTAGAATTCCTTATATGAATTGGTGGCCTAATAGTTGAGTCATAGCGCGGGCACCCCAGCGGATGGGGATCGAAACCGAGGGGTATATGTTTTGGATTAAACAATAAATTATACATTCTATGACGGATTGTTCAGAAAACGGTCAAAGGTCAAAACATGTCGGTATTTACAGATTAAGTTAAAACAATAATTTGAGACCACATGTACCCAATAAAATAATGTTAGTGTCTTTTTGATGTGGGACTTATACATGTATGTCTAAAAAATAGGGAATAAAAAGAGGGTGATATCCTCTGGAGGAAACCCTGATGTTGATACGCTGAAGAAATATGTTCCAACATCCATTCTTCCCACTCCTATTTTGGACATCAATTGCATATTTATTTTGCATAATCAACGTATAATTACATTGCTTTTATTTTGTTTTTCTCATCTCAATTGTAAAAAATAAAAAAATAAAAATCATTCATTCAACATTAGCACGGCTATCATGGCAATGTGAATGGAGACAGACAAATAACTGATAAAATAATTCCTTGTGTTTGCTGCTGGATTTGGTGTGTAAAAAAAATGTACTAATACTTTTGTCTTTGGCAAAAATGGCAAAAAACTGCTCTGAGTGTGAAGTCACAGTGGTACATTTGCTTCTTACTGTTACCGGACTGAGACAGGAGCTTTAGACAGAAAGGGACAGAAGTTCCTCATACTGGCATGGATGGAGCTAAAAACAACTCCATTTCTGTTTTGGATTATGTTGTATTACGGTTTAAAGCTCAAGAAAAGTTGGAATAACAGGTCTCTTTGACGGTCCAATGAATCAATAAGATATAAAAAACCCTCTTTGCTGTAAATAGTAATTTTGGGGCAAGTGTCATTCATAAGACGTCCATTTTGTCCTATTTTTCCAAACCGTAGAAAGATTGCTTAAAGTGTATTGTTTTTTTCTGTTTTCCTCAGTGTTTGATGACGGGGACGAGAAGACTCTGCGGCGCTCCTCTCTCTGTCTGAAAGGAGCTCGCCACTTTGCAGAGAGCGAGGCAAGTATTCCACCGTCTAAATTTAAAACACTCTATTTAGATTGTCAATAGCTATATTCAATCACTCACACGCTCCACTTTTCCAATGACCCCTTAATTGTCATTGGGAACTGGCGATTAAAGATAGCCCCAGTCGATATCACTCTGGACATTGGTATCGGTGACATTGGTTTATTTCCGTCTCTAATATTGAGGGGCAGAAATCTCTTTGAGCAAATGTATCAGTATTCCTCAGTGCATCGTGTGTGTCTACATAAATGGCAGAGTGTTAATTATTTTGTTGCCTACAGAAGTTCATTAAATAAGCAAGGGAGAATTTTAAATCTTAATCACTATCAATAAGTTTCAGTTATTGGTAGTAAGTTACACGCTCAGCCTCACATTTCCTGATTATGGCCCTGTTTTGGAGATTATGAGATTATGGAGATTTTTCTACTCATTGTTTGTGGTTGTGTCATGCCATATATTGTCAAATAATTAAGTAAGTAATCTTTATATATATATAGCGCCTTTCACAGACCAAAGTCACGAAGCGCTTTACAATTGCTGTGGACATTTGTCTCTCTCTCCACACAGAGATGTGAGCGAGATAGCCGTACAGGAGGCACATGCCAGACCTATTGTACATGTTTTTAGTGGGAGGGAAAACCGGAGCACTCGGAGGAAACCTACATGGGGAGAACATGCAAACTCCGCTCAGAAAGGCCCCATTCCGACCAGGATTCTTACCCAGGACTTTTTTCCTGAGATGCGAGAGTGCTATCCGGCCTAGGACTTTACAAGAACTCAAGGCTTTTTATCTGGAAGAGTTGTCAGCTTTACCATGAGAGAGGATAGAGAAGCTCATCCAGAGTAGCATATTTTTTGTTGTACCAACAAGATTTTTTTTTTTTATATGTATCACTTCATGTATGCCACAATGGAGATGTATCCATTTATATTCTGCTCTGCTCAAATGAATTAATCAATCAATAAAAGAAATCCCAAAAAAATAAACGGCTTCACACAACCAATAACAATGAGTAACAAAAACAAAACAATCATCACATAAAGCATTAACCAAAGATCAATCGACCAAAATCACCATTAAAAACACAATTAAAATCACAAAGGTAATTAAAAACATTATAATATCACTCATGATGTCCAAAGCATTGCAAAAAATACAAAATTCTGCTTGAACGTGTACACTGTATTTTACTAGAGTCTATCCCTACTTACTGTATGAATTCATCCTCGTCCGCGCCTACTCCTAACTAGGATTGATATGGAGGAGATTCTGTCAGGGGAAAGGTTTTGTTGCCTGATTTTGGTTTGACAAAGTGGTTGAGAGCCCCTCTGTTTGGTTTGTCCTCTCTGCAGACGCTTGATAGACTGCCCCTGACAAACCCAGAGCACTTCGGCACTCCTGTCATCGGCAAGAAGGGCAACCGCGGACGCCGATCCAACCCTGTGTGAGTATTGACCCAAGCTGACACACTGATTAAGAACTGCTCTCACTCTTCTCATGGAGCTCGTCCTGGTTTAGATTCGCTCTGTTTGGAATTATGGTGCTGTCCAGGCAACAAGTGTCTCTGAGCGTGTGCAACTTGTGACCAAATTGGACTGAAACATTTCTTTCTTTCTTTCTATTGCGGGCAGTAACATGGCATTACACGTTACCAGTGCATTTCAAATCATTTTAGACGCGCCACACAATTGATAAAAATAAGATAGAATATTGTATTGTGTGCCCTAATCTTAGTATTGTACCATTTACGCACATTTTCACAGATGCACTGCCACATTCTTTTTTTTCTCCCTCGTGTTCTTTATTAATAATTTCACTAATCGTTTCATGCTGTCTCCATCATATTTGAAATTATGTTATTTCTTGTAAGAAAGATCCCCGTTGAGTCACTGCTTGATCCTTTGGGCTGATGTTTTTTTCACTTTTATGTCTGAAAAATGTATTCCGAAGTTGTGACAGAGGCTAAATATACAGTACATGCATGTGAAAACTAGTGAATGAACCAAACTGTTTTGAAAGCAAGGAAATAAGTTGGATTCATTTAATTATAGGTCGGAATTTTGTGGTTTGAAAGTAATCTGGAACGCTCAGAATTAGGCTTGGCTCGGACCTACTTTACCACCGGTTAATAAAGAGGCTATGGGTGAGCCTCCGGTGTCTAATTAAGTAGTAAGTAATCTTCTCCCCAATCATCCAAGTAGTTTAAGGGTGAATTAACACTTGCCCTAGTGAATGGTTTGAACCCATTCCATTTGTTTCATTAAAATCATCCAAAATAAGACGGCTAAAAAAGACATTGATTTCCACTGTAGTCTCGGCAATAAAGTCTTTCCGATAAAGGTAGTAGTGAATCAAAAATTAATTGGATACAAGTAGTGGGGCTGCAAATGGAAATCAGTTTTAGTGGCTGCAATTAGTAATCTCAAAGACTGAATTTATGAAATCCATTAACAAAAATGATAATTGATCAGTGTATATTTTGAAGATTCACCCGAGCAAGCCAGTACCTTTTATTTTATTTGCAAATTCCAAAGGAGAATTGGCTTGTCTTTTCCATATTTTTAATTCTATAAACAAGCAGTCTGTAGAGAAAGAAAAATGAAAACAAAGATACATATTTAACTTTTTTTGTACAAAGATTGACCCTCTGCAAGCAATTGGGTTTTAGAAAATCACTGTTATTTTTTTTACTTAAACATTTCAATAATCGCACCACAATGCTGGTTAAAAATATTGCTACAGCCCTAACATGTTGGTGGCTGAAAGCGAGTCTCCCTGGCCTTGACGTAAAGAAATAACATCTAATCATTTATCAGTTATTTAAGTAACTTTCACATCCTATGGCTTTTAAATCGATGTTACAGATGGACAGAAGATCGAACCACGTCTACACTAGTACTGCATTTAAGGCCAAATCAAATATAAAGAGTGCCTAATGCAATAGCAGCAGTGCCTCGTCGTAAAGTGGCTTTGACATACAATTACTCTGCCGGATAATGCAATCTGGCTGCACACAGTGTGGTTAGCAAGTACTCTGTGCATGTAGAGACGAAAGGGAAGAATAGTTGCAAATACTAAACAAATAAACGTGTTCCAGAAGATAGTTTTGAGCGCAGGTTGGTTTTAGGGAATGCACTGATATTTATAGTGGTGTGAAATATTGGTCCAGGGAGTAAATTGATATATTGATTGGGCCTTTCAATAGAGGTTGTGTTCATGTGGAAGAGTTCTATTTCAGTTGTTGGGCGGGTTCCAATACAACTGTATATGAGAAAGAAGTCATTTTGCAAAGAAATGTGGAAAAAGATGAAATGTCTATATGTTTGCCAGCTCATAACTTATCCTCATGCCTGAAAGTCCTGACTTCTGGCCAACTTTGTCGCTTTTTTCTTTTCTTTTGCATTTTTGACACATTTTTATATGACTAAATAACTATACCATGATTGATATGTCCTGACAAAGATGTGAAACCGACGGTGACAGTTTTCTGTACAGAATTGCGTAAGAATGACTAAACTAAGTCTAGAATGACTTTTGACACTTTCCATAGATTTCTCAGCTATACATCTCCACAATTTTAAGCTATCAACTATATATAAACTATTTAACTAACTCTTTGGAATATTGTGATGTCACATGAATGCAACCTATTGATTAGACAATGCATAGATGAACAGAGCTTTCCGAATCCAAACGGATGAACTTATTGCTAAAACGCATGCTTTCGTAGAATCTAGCCTGCGATAAAGCACTATTTTCACGGCTTTGGCTCCTGGCGGTTCTGTGCTGCGGGGCGCTCTAGTTTTGTGTGATAGATTTTACTGTTTGGCTGTGGCTTATATTGAAATGAACAGAAAGACCATGATTCGTTTACGTAGAGGGTTTTGTGCACCAGTGATCCGCAGGACACCCCCAGAAAGCCGCCCAAATGAAAGATGTACTCTCAGCGTCCTGTTCATAAACGGACCCTGAGGCGCAGAGGAGATCCTGGTCTCCTCCTCACTTTCATAATCGCTCTGAGACTCTGTGGGCTGCACACACAACTGCATTATCCAGCTGAAAAATGGCATTTACTATCGATGAAGTTGTGCTCATAGGACAAGTGTGACGTTTGATATAGAAAGAGACCAGCTAGAAACATAATTTGTAGGTTTGAATTTAACAAAAGTGGAACAATTTAGAATTCGTCAAAAGAAATTATGTATTACAAGTCATAAAACAAAGCGTTCAAAACGATACATGATTTAATCCCGATTCAATACTGCAGCCATTCCCAAACTCAGTAACACCGAGGCCCCCTTAAAAATCTGACGGGTCTGCGTGGCCCCCCAAAATAATAACCAAGAAGACAACATTAAGAATAGGCTATTCTGGTTATTTTATTTTGGGGAAATAGCCTCTGCTACAAACATTGTAATACAAAAATGATTACAGTGGATTAATCAAGTCAAATAATGAACACAAATATTTTCATATTACAAACAAAACATTATAAATTTAACATTAAATAATTATATATATATATTTTTTTTTTTATGACCTCCCGCGGCCCACCAGGGGGCCGCGGACCCCACTTTGGGAGACACTGCAATACTGTAAAAGTGTACAATGTCAAAACTTACCCCGGAGTAAAACCAGGTCGCTAAACTAAACTTTGATTAATCAATTAGCTGTTGATATGCGATTTTTATCTACATTTGAAAAGTAAGTGAAACACCTGGATGACATTCTATTAGATAATTAGAGTACTAGACAAAATCCTTAAATTGACCATTATTCGATTTCCAAAAAATATGTCAATCATTGTAAAATCTTGATTAGTTGGTGAAATTAATTCATGTTCTCCCCGTGTAGGTGTAGGGTTCCTCCAGGTGTTCCGGTTTCCCCTACCACTAAAAACATGTAAAATGTAATGTGTGAATATACTGTATGGATGGTGATGGACTGGGGCTTAGATGCACCGGTGTGTTGGGCGGCTCAGTTATGTCATCGCTGTATGTGGAGAGAGTGGATAATATCACTATGCCAAAAACAGTTTAAAGTGCTGTGTGTGACCTTGGTCTTGATTTACTCACTTACTTAAAATGGCTTTTTTAGACTATCACAATCACAAAGTACTGTGTAATGTGCCGGTATGTGGGTTGTCCTATTAGCATAGTTCATGTTCCAATCTTAAATGTAGGTGTTTAATGCTGTGACGGCGCCTCCTGGGATTTTCTTCACTCGGGAAAAGGAGCCGCTGTGAGCCTTGGGTGCCCGTCGAGTGAAAGGAAACTCTGCTCCTTACACAATGTTAGCTGTGACATATGGATAATGGCGCTCACGCTTAAGTCAATTTTACTCGTTTTCTTGATGTAATATTGACTCGGAGCCGACTTTATGTTGAGGCTTAAATATAGTTTTCTAATACAAATGGTTTAATATGCACATTAGCAGAAGTGCAATTGCATTTAAACGTTTCTTCCTTTTTCCTCACATAACAAAACCATGAATCACGACAGATGGATGAGCGAGTGGCTTATCTGCATCCAGATACATATATATCTAATACAAGCATGGTTTTTCCCTGTGCTCTTTCTTGCATCTTGTCTCATTAGGATCTGGGTTACACAATTACATGCCAGCTCAACTGGAGTACAAATGGTTACATCATAGACATAGGTTAATTTGGACTAGATGAGTGATCCAGTCAATAACCCTCTGGTATGGGATAAAAATATACTTGGTTGATAAGTATGCTGTCGAATTACTGATACAAATGGTTTAATGTGGCTATATTCTGATGGGAAAGCACTGGGAGTACCATGTGCCACAGTGGACATGGTACTGAGTGTTGTCGTGTCCTCCTTAGACAAGACACTTCACTCACATTGCTTTGTAAGCGGCTGTGTGTTTGTGTTTGTGTGTGTGTGTGTGTGTGTGTGTGCGTGTGCGTGTGCATATGATTGGTGGGGATCGAAGGGCAGACATCTCTAATTGGCGGGCTCGTTTCCGTCAGTCTATTCCAGGGCACCTGTGGCTACACTTATTTATGTATTATGGCTTGGAGAATGCCCACAAAAAGATTTACTGCTAAATATAACACATTATTAAAGTATATTCTAACAGCTGCTATTACAGTGTTGTTTGGGTTTATTATGTGGATGGAATAGGATTAGGAATGAGCAAGACACAAGAGGGGCATCTTATTACAGAGATGCTTTAAGTTTAAAGCAATTTGAGAGTATTGAATAATGTGTTCCTTCCATGCATAGGACGATCGTATATACTTCTTAATACGTACAATTGGCTGAATCTTTATTTCTCTGTGGTTAGTGCTATCGTTCGAGTGAGTGCCTTCACAAAGCACTAGTGTAAACCGCATTCTCCATCAACTACAATTTAATTCCAGTGATAAAGACGTGTGTGCGCCGGTGTGAAAAACCTGTCCGTTTGAGGTGATGG